GGTTTTAAGCCATATTTAGATAAGCACTATATTGTCAATAGCTTCTTCAATAAATATTTGTTGGAACTTCATGCCATTCAACCAAAAATGCATATCTTCAAAACAGTCTAATTGGAATATAAATGCTTTCTTCTTATATTGATCTTCAATTTTAATAGAATTAGGACATTTGTCAGGCTCATATTCACTCATATAACATTTATACAAGCTAAGTTTATCTATAAGCTTCATGTTTGAAGATTTAATCATCTCATAAATGAAAATAAATCCACTTCTCAATTCTATATGAACTGTTTGGAATTTTTTATCACGAAGCATCTTAATAATGCCTTTTTGAGCTTCATAAGTATTTCTACCAAGTTTTTCTAATGACATATTGATCTCTTTAGAAGCGTACTCTTTAATAGATTTTAATTCATCAGATATTCTACTAATCCAACTATCTTTTTCTTGTTTAGTAGTAGCATCTAAAATATATTGTCGTTGTGGTAGAATAATAACAAATTTGGTTGAATTGGGAATAGTCCTTATCTCTGCAAATGCTAAATCAATCACTTTAGGTACCTCATTAATTGAGCCTTCTCTTTGTTTATTGAATCTGACTTGTTGTTGTTTATAATAAATTAACTCTCTATTAAATTGAAGTAAATAGAAAAACCTTCTCTTCATCTTTCCTGTTTTCTGTGACCTCATAAACAAATAACCAGCTTTACCATCCCAATTCTTAACATCAGTTGGATCAATTTCAACTCCCTCTGGAAGATCTCCTTGAGTTTTTTCTGCAAGTTTTTCAAATTTAGTTGATAAATTAGAAAGTAATGTTGGATCAGCGCCTTCCATTTCAACGGAATTGTCTTGATAATATAATGAAACACTTAATTGACCTTGCACTTGTTCAGTTCCTTGTGGAAGAATTGTTAACCATCGTTCTTGAATACCCTTTATTCCTTTTAGACTTATTGACACTTGACCGAATGGAATTATTGTTTGTTTTAATAAAGACTTCTTCTTACCAAATATTTCAATCCTTACCTGATCATCATGGTTACAATCAAATGCCATGAAATGATTCCATACAGGAACACTTGGGATAATAGATTTTGTTTGTACTGGATTTTGTTTACCAACTTTTACAATGCAATATGCTTCTTTTATTCCATTCATTGGTGGTAAGTCTTTTATACTATTAATACGTAAACTAAATACACCTTCTTGTAATTTATCACTTCTAAGGTCTTGAACTGATATTGCTGTCTGACGCATTCCTTCAATAGAAGTAATTAATTGAAGTGTATAAAGTAATTCTGCAGGATACTGACTGTCATAAAGTTGACTGGTAACAGGAGTAACATTATTTAATTCTAAGTTATTTAATGGAACAATAATTTCTTGATAAACTGTTTTTGTAGATTCCTCAACAACTTTAATAGTTAAATTTGTTACACTTGTAATTTCTTTAAAGAATAAACTACTACCAATGTTATCATTAATTTTATTAACTCGAGTACTTTGAATATTTGACTGTTTGGTTTCTAATGATAGTTTAAATAATGGCCTTTTAATTTCTTTATTAGACTTTAACATTAATACATTAACTCTTAATACGTACTGTGTTAAGTCATCTCTTTTAAGAGTTTGTGTATTTGACATTTCGGTTAAAGGTAAGTCTTTAATGTCATTACTTTTCTTACTAATAGTTTTTCTAAGGTTGTTTTTTTCTTGGAGTTGCTTTTGTTCAAATTCTTCTCGTTCTTTCTTTTGTTTTTCTTCAAGTTGTAATAATTCTTTTTCTTTTGTTTGCTTTTCTTCTTCTATTTGTCTTTCTTCTTCTATTTGTCTTTCTTCTTCTATTTGCTTTTCTTCTTGTTTAATACTCACATTTTTTGTTTTTGAAATATTTGCTTGTTTAATTTGTTCTTCTTCTTGTTGGCTGGTTATTTCTTTATTATTAGAGTTATCTTCTTCAATTGTTACTTGTTTTGATTTAAACTCTTTTACATCTTTTTCCTTTTTCTCTTCTTCAGTCTTTTTCTTTTCTTCTTCTTTTATTTTTCGTTCATTCTCCTCAAGTCTTTTCAGATTTTCTTCTCTTTCTTTTTGTTGTTTAAACTCTTCATCTCTTTTCTTTTTTTCTTCTTCCTGTTTAGTTTTTTCAATTTCTCTCTTTTTCTTTTCTTCTTCTTGTTGCAGTTTAAGTTCTTTTTCTTTTCTTTGTTTTTCTTCTTCAATCTTTTTAGCTTGATCATCTAATTCTTGTTTTTTTGTTTCTATTTCTTCAGGCTCTTTTTGTTTGGAAGAAAGGCTAGCAGTTTTAGATTTTTCTGATGTTATTTGATTTTTCTTTTTTACTTCTTCAAGTCTTTTTTGTTTTATTGCTTTCAACTTATCTTGCATTTCCTTTTTTTTCTCTTCTGCCTCACGCTGTTTTCTTTTCCACTCTGGCTCTTGTCCAGTATTTTTATTTTGAGAAGTTACTACAGTTTTAGGTTCTGTTTTTGTTGAAACAATATGTGAAGGTGGAGCTTTTGATAGCACTGCTTGTTTTTCTTTCATTTCTTGTATTTTCTTATCTTTTTCCTCTTGTTCCTTCTTTAATCTTTCTTCCCTTTCTCTTTTTAGTTTTTCCTCACGTTCTTTTCTTTCTTTTTTTTGTTTTTCAAGTGCAGCTAATCTTTCATCTTCTCGTCTTTTTTTCTCAGCCATCTCCTTTTCTCTTTTTTCTTTTTCTTCTTTTTGTTTTCGTTCAAACTCCTCTTTTTCTTTCTTTTGTTTTTCTTCGAGTGCTTTTTGAGCCTCAATGACTTTCTTTTCTTCTTCCTGACTACTCAGTTTTTGTTGTTCTTCAGCCTTTTTTTTAGCTTGTTTTTGAACCCAAATCTTTTTACCACAAGTCTCACAATATGGTTGGTTGTCCACAGTAACAAATGAAGCACCTAATTTTCTTGAACAAGTGGTACAACCAAAACACTGTTGATGATACTTCTTACCTAATGCTTCTAAGACATTGCCACTCAGTGTTTGTCCACACTTTACACAAACTTCAAGTCGTTGCCTATTAAATATTAATAATTTCTTTTAAACAATAAAAATAACAAACTCCTGAGTAGTAACTTTCTTTTTTGGAATTACTGGAGTTGTTTGAGTACCTCCACTACTTTTTGATAAAGGCTGGTTGTTTCTGTTTATTGGACGAGGTGGAGGTTTTGATGTTGAAGAATAAGGTTGAGCAGTCATAACTGGCTTTTTGATATTTTCTTCTTTCTTCTTTTCTTCTTCAACTCTTTTATTTTCTTCAGCAACTGAACCTCCCTTAAGTTGGAACATTTGATACATAACACCAAGATACGTAATAATACTAAATTGCTCTGGTTTTTCCAATAATACAAAATCTTCTACATCTAACAGTCTTGGAACTCCTAATTTCTCTGCTGTAGAAAATGCTAGCTCCAAGTTCTTTTCCATATTGTCTTTTGACAATGAATTAAAGTCTATTGCCTCAGGATGAAATGAATGGATAAGTGCACAAAAGGCTAATCCATTTTTCCATGAATAATGAAAGTTTGTGACATTAACATCTTTATACCCTGCAGTATTTTGTTTACACCATTGGAGTAAAGCTTGTGTCCCTTGCATGATTTGTAAATATTTATAATTTTCTTGAAGTTACTTTTTTATCTTTTTTCTTAAATCCTTAAGTTGTAATTGTTATTTCATTCTTTATTGGTACTACTTTCAGTCTTTAGTTTTGTTCAAATAAACGCGATACTTTCGCTTTTCCTCTATAAATAGTTTCTTGTCTTACTCTTAATTTTTTTTATTTATGATGTAGTTATTTCTAATAAAAAAGGCGATGTTTAAATAAAACAAGGATGTAAAGAATAACATTGAAGAATAACAGAATTTATTTAATACCAGAAAAATTTATTCTTCAAACTATAACAAAGTCCCATTCAATTCATTGGTTATATTTAAGGAAAAGAAGAATGTCATTCATTTATTCTATGTCTATTTTCAAATCATATTTTTGGAGCAATAAAAATATTATACACCATAATGTCATTATTTCCCCCTCAATCAACTCAAGTTGCTAATTTTTGTTTAATAATAAATTCAGGATAATTACCAATTTTTTGTGGATAAGTAAATTTTGTAAAATTAGTTTCATAAAATTATGAGTTACTTATAAAAATTTTTTATCACAAAGAGAAAAATAATCTAATCTTAGTTGACTCTGACATATCAAAACCGAGATAAAAAAACATTCACAGAAATACAACAAATGTCCTTTAGAAAGGGAAAAAACGAATATCATCCCCAAGAGAAGAGTGAGATAGTTTACTAACTTCAGGAATATTTGCATATAATCAATGAAAAGTGAACAACAAGAAATGAAACAAGAAACAAAGTTAAGAAATTTAAGAGAATGGACAGGTCTTAGTAATTATTTCATTCTCTACGACTCAGACGAAATGCCATTTGATAGAAGATCATTTCAACGAGTTATTTATGGAAGGAATAATGTTATGGGACTGGTCATCACATCTAGTGGGGAAGTCTTTGGTAGTTTTCATCCAACCACACTTCCACAAGAAGATAATGACAATGAATGGGTTAGTGATAACAACTATTTTGTTTTTAAAATTAATAATGAGGTTTGTAAGTATTCTAAACATGAGAGAATAAACACTGACTGGAGCCTCTATCTTTGGAGTGAACATGACAATTCATTGCCTAATTTTTATTGTGTTTTATTCGCATTTGGTCTTAGTTTCCCTTTAAACAATGAACGAAGTGGTATTATAAGAAGAGGTTTCGAGTGTTGTTATAAGTCAAATCAAATGCTTGCTGATGGAACATATGATAACTATAATAATGTACTATTTAAACCTTCAAGGCTTATATTACTTCAATGGTTTGATAATTAATAATTTAAAATAATACTTTTTTTATTTTTTGTTAACAAATAAATTTTGAATATAAGCACTCAGTTATTTAAGGATTTATTCATCATCTTCTTCTTCGTCGTCTTCTAATTCAAATTCATCATCGTCTTCTAATTCAAATTCATCATCGTCTTCTTCATCGTCTTCTTCATCGTCTTCTTCATCATCGTCTTCTTCATCGTCTTCTTCATCGTCTTCTTCATCGTCTTCTTCATCATCGTCTTCTTCATCGTCTTCTTCATCGTCTTCTTCATCGTCTTCTTCATCGTCTTCTTCATCGTCTTCTTCATCGTCTTCTTCATCGTCTTCTTCATCGTCATCATCATCGTCGTCTTCATCATCGTCATCATCGTCATCATCGTCATCTTCTTCATCGTCTTCTTCATCATCATCTTCTTCATCATCATCTTCTTCATCATCATCTTCTTCATCATCATCGTCATCTTCATCATCATCTTCTTCATCATCATCTTCATCATCGTCTTCTAATTCAAATTCATCATCTTCATCATCATCATCTTCATCATCATCTTCTTCATCATCGTCTTCATCATCATCGTCTTCATCATCATCGTCTTCTTCATCATCGTCTTCTTCATCATCGTCTTCTTCATCATCGTCTTCTTCATCATCGTCTTCTTCATCATCGTCTTCTTCATCATCGTCTTCTTCATCATCGTCTTCTTCATCATCGTCTTCTTCATCTTCTTCATCTTCTTCTTCTTCATCTTCTTCTTCTTCATCTTCTTCTTCTTCATCATCATCTTCTTCGTCGTCTTCTAATTCAAATTCATCATCATCGTCGTCTTCTTCATCGTCTTCTAATTCATACTCATCATCATTAAAATCAAAATCTTCATTATTAATTTCAAAATCATCATCGAGTTCAAACTCTTCTTCGGCATGAACAGTTAAGAATAAAGCAAATACTAAGAACAAAATGGCTTTCATTACTTAAATAAGAATATGATTAAAATCTGAAATTTTTTTCTTAAATAGACATAATCTCAAAAATACCAAATTTTAAGATAAACCAATCAAATA